GCATCTCAAGAAGGACTCTACACCATCAAGATGGCAGATAGTGAATTTTTGTTAGCACCATATCCTGCCAATCCGAAGAACGCAAAAATAAATTTCTGCAAATGGTTGAAATCATTAGCGTCGATGTCGAATGGCAACGTTTGCTTTTATTTGTATTATATGCGGGGATGTGTTACTTCACACCTTTATACTGCACGTTTGTTTTAATTAGTACCGTTCATTTTAAACTAATTACCGTTCACTACAGAAAACAAATACACACGTGTATTTTATTTTCCTTCCTTCACTATTATTTGTGCAGATCTGAATTTTCTAAAGCCACAGCGGTATACAATTTATTGTCATTAAATTAATGTTAAATTCATCCTCGTTTAACTAACGACGTTCAAAGAACGCACTCACCGACAACTAAAAGTATCAGCGAAGCAAGTGAAGAACTTCCCGCAACTCAAAGAAACGGAAGGTTCAGTTACCCTGCCCACACGAGCTGGAGGAAGGTCATTTACGTATATTATCAAAAGCAAGGGCCATAGAACTGACCCTTCGGAACTCCATGTTTTAGTATTCCCCAGTTTGAAAATCAAATTCTGAAAGCAATTAGGCGATTTTATTTTGATATTCTGTTTTCTATCTGTTAGAGAGGATCTGAACCATTTTGTAGTTATTCAATGACTTCCATAAAAATGTAATTTAGTAAACAATATTTCATGATTTACAAAGTCAAAAGCTTTTGTTAAATCACATCAAGTTCCTCCGGCACATTTTTTGTGAACAGATTTTAACACTTTGTTAGTTCGAAGGCCACATCTTTACTGAAGCAGACTGGCATGGGACCGATATTTCTGTAGAACGTATATGATGATTTCTACTGTACAAAACCTTCTCAAGTACTTTAGAAAAAGTAGTTGGTAGTGAAATCAACCCATAGTTCGTCACTTTTTTGTACAGTGTTTATACACTGACATTTTAATACGATCCAGAAAAATAACTGTACAGCTGATTACAAATTTGGACTACTGAGTGCATAATTGAAGCTGAACACGCTTCTTAAATTTTACGTATTATTTTCATCATAACTTGATAAGTGTTTTTTAATATATTATACTTTTTATCTTAGTCTCAGGGGTTGGAATAGTTTTAATATCAGAAAATTTTATAGGATGTGCGTCTTTATAAATAAAATAGCATCTTTCGATATTTGTTAGAAAAATAATTTAAGGTATTAGCAATTGTTCCTGAATCCTTTACGTTTCCATAGTTGGTAAGAAGAGATGGCACCTGTTTAGTTGAATATATTCGTCCTGTTTCTCCTTATACTATGTTTCATGCTATTTTTATTTTATTACGTGACGTGTTACAGATGCTGCACTGTTTGTGTGGACAATATGTGTTTTACGACGTAAAGTGCAATTTCGAATACTTTGGATTAACGAAGTATGAACATAAATTAAATTATTTTTATTGCACTAAGTCACCTTTCGGAAAGAGGGCATTTTAAGAGACTGTACAGCGCTGATAACGCAAGATTCTACAGAGGTCTTCTTATTAAGTACGGTGAATGACCTGTTTCAATATGTAAATTGTCTATTACGCGGTGTATACCCAAGAATGCTTAGAATAAATGAACCTGAAGAATGAATAACAGAAACTTATCAGCAACTGTTCTACAAATTTAGCCGAGCGTCAGTATATAAAGACCTCCATTTACAATAACATGAATCACTCCATAAAACGAAAGCATGACGAAAGTGAAGAACGTCGTAGAGACGTGAGGCCTGACACCTAGCCTCGCTGCAAATCCCATATAACTCGACCGGAAGTCAAAGTGAATCTTCAGATGAGAGGACGTTAAGCTGTGTGTGCATATTCATTGTTATTTGCCAATCACAAAACGACGCGGCTATCCGTAAGAGGCCTAAGGTAAAAGAACTGAAAAATAGTTTCAATCATCCCAAATTCAACAACTTCAGAGACCATAATCACTCTTAAGAAGGTTTTGGTTACTCAGTTGGCCAACAAATTCCCGGACTTTTCTGGAACCACGGCATTCACTGCTGTCGAAGGCAGATCAGACGGTGCAAAATACCACTGAAAAAAATTCAAATTTCGCTATAGGCGACATACGTACACTCTCTCTTGAATTGGGAGCTACTTAATACTTTCGTGTGTACAAACTTACATGGTAACATCAGAGAAATCACTTTCGAAAGTCTGGGTTCCAAGACATCCCCATGCCCACAGAGGAAAATATTTAATTAGGCCACGGCCGATCCCCTTTCTCACACGTCCTGTATCTTGTTCCCGTTTTATATTTATGGCTGTTTTCTGGGTTGTAGCGCCGTATAGTGCCATCGTCCTGATGAAAGAGGCAACAAAACTCTGTGAAACGTCGGTATACGTCAAACTGCACGGCGCTACAACCCAGAATCTTCATTAACCAACTTCATGAAGCAGAGATTTTGGTGAGAAGTTGACAGTGGCTTAGCTGGCAATGTTCCCTTCGCCCGTTAGCATGTTGCAGAAATCAGTCACTGGACTTTGTCCTAAAGCCTAATTTACGTTGGAAAATTTTACTGGAAGTGAGTGATTTAAGCCCTAAATTAGAAGCCAGCAAATCGTTTGCAAATGGTAAGCAAAGACGACACTTTACTAGTGACCTGCGCTTTAAGCTAATAATGTTTCCTTCGACTTGAGCAGATTAAACGTGTCTGCAGTTTTCTTATTAGCGCGTTCTCCTTGGTCTCAAGAACGTTTGAAAGGGCGTAAGACTTGTTGCTGTTTTATTTTGTCAGAAATTAAGCACTGGGGAAAAGCAGAGAGAATAGAAAACTGATAGCAATATGAAGACAATTATTATTTCGGATGGCTACGATGCGTATACAAATCTGATACAAAGTTAACTGATGAAGCTCCACCTGCCTACTAAACTCATCTACTACGCCGACTACCTCATAGCGAAATATTCTTTGGCATAGGAAATTAAAATAATTAAATCTAAATACAGAAATAGTACAATTCCCTGGGTGCGATTATGATTATAATAGACACAAAATACATTTCGAAATTAAAACAATGTGCATTCAGTTTTCAGAAACAAGCCTACTCCGCTCTCTTGTGCAAAACATTTTCAGTTAGAAAATTAATTATTTTACTCAGTACGGTTTTGAGTTGGCTGGTCATGTAGCAGTAGGTAACCAGCAAAGATGAATAAGCTTTTCTGTACCAATATGATTTTGGTTAAAACAAAAATAGTATGGCATTTCTTTAACTGTACTCGTTGGCGATACACCGGTTTAATGGTTTCTGTTCGTTGTGCAGCATTTCAATACACGTGCAAAATACGTAGTACCAATCACCTAAGAGTGTGTGTTCAGACGATAACAGCAGATGAGTCAGGATGGTCACGTGACATGCAAGTGGACACATTCACTTTCCACTTGAAGGCCAGTGGCCAGTTTATGGGAGATGATGCTATTTACACCCTGAGAGTTCAGTGGCTTCAACTACTTTCTTTCAGTAAACTTATCCAAAGTAAATCAACCTTAACCTATACGAATCCAGCCCTCAAACACATAGCCTACTCTTATCACCTACACATCCAGAGCAAAATCTATCTAGGACTAATACCCACAATACCATCCATAAAATCAGCCTACGCTTTAAAATCATTATTTTAAATAAAATTTCACATCAAGAACTTCTTGGAACAGATTATGCCATTACATTTCTTAAGCCCTCATACTCTAAAGTGAATTTTAACAATCACAGCGAAACGACGATATGTTCTAACAAAGAATCTGAAATATTTCACTCACAGGAAACTCTCTCAAATCGACGTCGAGTGTCATTTGTCTTCTGAATGTCACTTAAAAGTCGACAAGAATAGCATACATATGAGACCACTCCGCAAGTTTTCTTCAATGACATCAGCAATTTTTTTTAAACTTTCTAATTCATCTCATTGAAGTTAATTTAATGTGAAGATCCTAGCAACCCCCACCAACGGATTTTCCTAACTGTTCATACGTAATTTTACCAACTATTGTTCTCATATCGCTTGAATACAATAAGCTTCTTTGACAAGATGACAGAGAATCACTGGGCACGCAACGGTATTCTGATATGATTCAACTAAAAGCGACTAAAACACGAACTTTCAGACAACCCACCAGTATGTGACGTGGGGAATTATAACCACGCCCATGGGATCAAATGGACAAACGCTGCGGTGAGACTGATACCACTAGACCCTTTAGCTGATGTTCGCAAGAAAAATAACACTAGAGAACAGCAGTGCTGATCGAAGTCCGCGGCCCAAATTGTAAAACATGAAAAGCAGCGAAGTTCCTGCAGACAATATCTTATCCAACACTGCAACGGAACTCGTAAAATAAATGCGGAGAAAAAAATCCAAACACACGAAGAAACCCGACCCTGTTGTGGCTGCAAGTTTTCAAAGTTGCTCGACAGCCCGTGCTTACTTCAAAAAAAAATTTCTTTGCCACACGAACATCGTTACAGTAATTTCATTTACATGTGCACAGATATGATGATACCGTATTTCGAATCCGCTGGATCAACACACATTTTCTTTTCGATTCGACGGGCTTCTGGCAGAACGCCTCCCCATATGGTCACAGGACTTCCATGTTAACGACAGCAAATATGTGCGATATCTCAGAAGTAAATACAGCAAGATACGCGAAACTCTACTACTCAGAATTACGAAACGGTACGCAAAATTGGAAACTTCGATTAATGAATATTATGTTATTAGCCTTCAATAATTGTTGGTTAAACCGAAGACAGTCACGTGACATGAGACCTGACAAATATTCAAACATCTTTCTCGTCTATAACACACCTATTTCTTTTTTTGGCAAATATGCGACACAGAAATTTCAAACCATTTGTGACAAGCTATTCTGCAATGTCTAACAAATAAAATTACTCAAAAAGACTACGAAACAAAATGCATCAGAACTAAAAGAGGTACTTACCCTTTCCTCCTCGCGGATCATTTCGGCGATGCCAGGCTTTATTTCCATGTCGTCAGGATGCGGTGGGGGAGGCAACGGGAGCCCGGGATCCCCTGGGATTGGAACCAACGTCGGCCCGTGGGGGTGATTCTGCGGTGGTGGAGGCGGTGGTAGGCCCTGCGAGTTCACCATGGCGTTGGGTGGCTGCTGGGGAGAGAGTTCTAAAGCACTGGAATCTAGTCCTTCTGCACCTAAGCTTTCTTCAGGGCTACTGACACTGCTCCTCTCCCCTGACGTACGACGTCTTTTCTTCTGCCGGTGGAGTTGCTGCTGTGGCTGCTGAGTTGTTTGTTGCTGTTGCTGTTGTTGCTGATTCGTCTGCTGCTGCTGTTGTTGTTGCTGCTGCTGTTGCTGTTGCGGGGTCGTAGGAGGAGAAATTACGTTCTCAGACGTGTCATGGAGTGTCGAACCTTGCCTAGAATCCCAGCTTTTCTTTCCTTCCCCGGCAGGTCCGGGCTCAGGATCTCCGTTAACATCGGCCAATCCACGAATCTTTAGCGATTCTGCCACCTTCAGAAGTGGGCCTATCTGCTCCTGTGATACATTAATTTCGCCCCTGTACATGAACTCCACGACGGCCTTCAACTCGGGCCATTTTATATCTTTAAGAATGACAATAGGGTGTTGGCACGGGTTTTCGAAAAACAGTGACTGGAAGTATGGGCTACAGGCCGACAGGACCATCTTGTGCGCCTTCACTGAATGCCCATCACAAGCCAGGGTCACGTCCACGAAGGACTCGCTCTGAAGAAGCTGATCGAATACATTGGTCAGATTGCTTTGATAGTTGTTCCAGCGCAGACAGAACTGCTGCGGGGAACCCATGCAGTGCTGCATGATGCCAACAGCTGCCTCCTCGCGTGTCGACTGCCGACCCACAGCCAGGGCTCCTCACCGTCGGTCTTCTAGCAAACACCACTGTCCTTCACCACAGTTCTGGTGTCTCCGAACAGACAACCCACATCTGCAACGCAAATCAGTCAGACATTGTCACAACCGTCACAAGCACCACCACCACCACCAGACACTCCCCCAAAACAAACAGTCTACACGAAGAAAACTGCCAAGAGAGATACGATAAAGAACGCGCGTTCTAAAAGGAATCGCGAAACGGGAAGAACTGGTCTAGCAACCACGAAGAAGGTACGTCGCGACGCGACAGTTTTTATTTACCAGAAATTTAAAAAAAACACGAGTCGACGAGCGATACACGAACGACCGAAGAACATAACACGACAACACGAAACAAAGCCCACACGCTTCGCTACCAAGCGCTCTTCTGACTCGCTCCCGTGCTTGGCGGCCTGCTCGGTCGGCAGTCGATGCTTACTCCCCGCTCCTCCCGCCAGCGCTAAGCACAAACAGCTAGAGTTGTACGTGATCTCACAGGCCAAATGGTCGATTTTCCCGTGCTCCACACAACACCCCACCCCTTTTCTCTTCTTGCCACGAACCTCATCCCGCTCCCCCCGTTTCCAACATCATTTATTTATATAAAATGTACATGTAATACGGGGGTGTGAAATGAGAGGATGTCTGTCATACATAATGCATTATGATGCCCTAGCCCTATTGATTTATTGATGAAGGTTTCTGGGAGGAGATATGGAACTCACATATACGTACAATACAGACCAAGATGCTTATTCTTCAGAAGTGGTGACTGAGTAGTCTACATGCTGCTTGCTATATTATATTCTGACTCCGTATATTTAGCAGCTGCGTTGGTTGCTTGCTTGGTATGACTCAGCCCATGCTTACTTGCTTTATGTTATTGAATTTCATTAGCGACTAATTTGATGGCAAGGTCTCTCGCTGTTGCCGTCATATTACGAATAGCAGCAGCAAGATGAACGAGACAGCATTCTCGTCTCTCAGTAAAGAACTCGCCATAAAAATACACAATGACAGAATACAGCAACTGTAAAAGTCGTTCGACATTTTTATCTCCTTATCAATGGCTTCAATTCGTCCATGAAATCGAATACTATTTGTTGAAAATCACTGTTTGATAACTCGAAACAATTCTATCGCGAGTTCGGTGCTGTACCGTAATCGAGAATGTCCGTCCACAAAACAGTGTCAGCAAGATAATACTTGACGTACCAGCAATTTATTCTCAAAAGTTCGGAAATCCAACTAGTTCAAGGCGAAGAAGACATCGAAGAACTGAACAACTCCGATTTTCACAAAACTGCATGAATTTCACAACTCCCTTTGTCTTCGAAATCGTCATCGTTCACGACCATCCCGACAGAAAACCCAATGAGAGTACAATCACTGTTCAATTACAGCCGCAGAATACTAAAAGACCTCTTTCTTAAAAGCCAGCTTACATCCAGCAATGAGGATATCACGTTTCTCGTGCCTCACAGATACGCTCCAGCCGTCTACGAGAATGTTGCATAGAGAGAGGGGGGGTCCTTTAAATGAAAATCTACAAGGCATATGCATGATCAGAAGTTCTGGCGGCTGCGAGGACGAAGATGGCTGAATTCTGGGTTGTAACGCCGTGCAGTCTGGTGCTTCAGAGGTCCTTATTGTCCTGATAATGGAGGCAGTAAGGACGTCTGAAACGTCGGCAAACTTTGACCAGAACACACGTCGCAACAACCCAGAAGACAGCTATCTTCAAAGTGTACATTTCTGGTATGTATAAGTTACATGGCACTAAATACTTCAGACGTCAGCTTTCGGACTCGTAAATTGGAAGAACTTTATAACATATACCGAAGAAATGAGTTCATCATGACAGCAAATAATTTTACTTCAGCCCACACATTTTATTGTTAGGTTTCTATTATATACAATAAAGTAAGGAAACAAATCATACTCTGAATACGTCACAGAATGGTTCCATTGTGCTCAAAGAGGAGGAGTGAGGAAATGGGCATGGAACATCACAAGCCTGCACACTGCTCCAGCAGCTGCTGTCAGACCCTCAGCAATGGTTGTTTATATAATGGATTGATTACATGAGTGTCCTTTCAAAATCAAGATGTAAATATTATACAGTTGTAAAAACAAATAATCCAGAACTCTGCAGAGAATGCAGGAGAAAATATTCACGGCAGGAACGTATGAAGATGACTACACTCAACATAGTGTGTACGCCTACATTATATTGAATTTCCAGGCAATATACGAGACACTGAGGAAAAACTGCAATCAACCTGACGCGCAACATAATCGTCATTCGACATAAAGTAATCTGCTCGTCACTTCGACACTTAATCCGTGTTTATCGACCCACCATTTTCTTTATGTATGATACGTCACTTGTAGCCTGGCATCCTACGTGTCGCTGTATTTTATTTCTCATTTCTCGTTTACAAATTTCGCGAGCGTTGAAATATCAAACCACATAACTGAGAGACTTCGTGCAGTTAAATTTAGTTCCTAATATTTCATTTAAAATCAGCACACGTTACAATCTAACATCCATGTCCTACGACGACGTATAGGGAAGGCGATGCAAAGCTCCATCCAAGCTCATCAGCTCCGGCCGTCTTAATCCGGGTACCATAACATAGTGGGCCGAGTATGCTCCACGGCAGGTCTGGAAGCAGAGTAACAGAGAAAAATCCCTGCCCCTGTCAGAAACTAAACCCAAAATATCAGCCTGCAGTCACCCACTTCACTAAAAATTATCCAGACCAACTACATTCGTATATGCAGAAATATAATATTATACATTTCTGTTCCCCTAGTCCAATTCTCTCTCCGTTTCTGGTTGAGATGTGATACTATCAATACAGATTTTCCTAGTGCAAAAGCGACTTATGGTGAAGACTGATTCTTTCCTCAGAAAACATTTAATAACGAACGCGGCGCCACGACAGAAAATAACACTGGTCAACAGGAATGCGAATTCATACGACAGCAATAATAAATATACCACGACAGAAAATAACAACACTGGTCAACAGGAATGTGAATTCATACGACAGCAATAATAAATATACAATTTCATTACTTCCGCAAAGTTTATGCAGACCTTAAGAACCTGGGTATGATAGAAACACTTTTAAGTATAAATATTAAACAAACAAAACGGGTTTTGCGTATTTAAACTCAAGATACACTAAATCGTACGCTTGGCTTACCTTCTCTAAACGTCTACTGTGTACGTAATTATGGCTGGAACTGACTTTAAAAACATTCAGCACAGACGTTTCTTTACAAAGACTTTTACGGACATGAAGAATCAGTAGGAAGAGGGACTGCAGTTTCTGGCCTATGTTGATGTTAATTTATTGGGCGAAAACATAAATACTACAAAGAAAACACAGAAAATCTCAAACGCTAGTAACGAAACTGGTCTATAAACAGATGACACAGAAGGCTAAACATAGCTACCCCATGCTCGTCACCAGAACGCAATAAATAGTAATAAAAACTAAATACTTCAAAACTATGGCAGATTTCAAGTGCACCTATTTCGCAACGACAGTCACAAATCAAAATTATATTCATGAAGAACAGTAAATTAAATCTGAGACATGTAAGATTTGAGGTTCTGACGGCGGAGCGTATAAAGATGTCTGTCTTCTGGGTTGTAGTGCGCTGAGGAATCGCTCTGATGATGGAGGCAGCAAGTACCTCTGAAACGTTGGTAAACTTCTACCAGATTACATGGCGTTACAACCCAGAACACAACCATCTTCAAATATGATACATGTTTGCTGCCAGTCGGTGTAATCATCTATTGCGTGAAGAACACAGACTGGGAGTGCTTGAGAACAAACTGGCAAGGATAATTTTGGGATACGGGGGGTGGGGGGGGGGAAAGAATGGAGATCACTGCCTACTGAATTCAAATGCGTTTCTACGAATTTAACAACAGCTCACAAAATTAGGTAATATCAGCGGCATCTTCCTCAGACTCGCTCTGTGTCCTAATCGTCTTGTGATGCAGTTCCTTTGTTGATGTCACCGTCCAGCTATGTTCATATTTTTGTGTCTTAGAAATTGGTGCGAGTGAGTTATTACACTGCATTTTGTCTAACGTTTATAAAAACAGTCGAGAAATACTGACCTACAACCCGAAGATGTTTAGATAGATGCAATTCTCGCCAGGAAAGGATTCTTATTTTTCGCCCTCCCCACTCCCGAAAATCTCGCAGAACGGTTCTGGGGCCCAATCATCTTCCTACCCAAAGATGGGCAAGGTGGTTACCGTTTTCAGGAGCAAACCTGTCGGGGCCCCTCCCTCAATGTTACATGATATAAATACTGTGAAGGTCTAGATCAGAGATTCTCAACCAATTAAAACTTGGGGCCACATTCGCCTTCTCTTATCGGGTTGTATGTGGCAATTTATTAAAACTTCGTGGCAATTTATTAAGAACTCTTCACAAAAACTCACTAATTTTTTGACAAATTTGGTTTCGTCACGTACTTAAAATTAAATATTTAAATTATGCTAGAGCAATGTTTTATTATACAAACCGCTACTTTATTACAAAAACGTACGCGAGCCGCACAAAATACACAGGCGGGCCGCGTGTTGGGAACGATTGAAAGAGACACATTTATGAAAAATTGTGGATGTCTTATTTTTCTTTTGCTATCAACGGCCGTTCCGTCGAACATCACTCGCATTTTCGGTTCAACAGATCAAAACGTTGGTATTAGTCCTACTGCTGATAACTTACGACCGCCTCCAAATTACTCACATGCTATTTTGTAGCAGCAACCGTAGCATACAAATAACTTGTACGTATTCTTGCAGTTGCTAAAATTTCCAATTTGGAAAACGCTTAACATTCATGTATTTCTTCAGGAATCACTCACTATTCCATTAAGTGCAAATTTGTACCGACAGCTACAAAGGGATCTGGCCACGAAATCACGTGCTTTACCATTAACGAAAGTTATCAGCCTGCAAGGCAGGACGCGGCTGCATAGGACGCACTCACTGCATTAAAACAAAATATTCACTCTAGATAAATGTGTTGTACT